TCTGAAACAGTGCATTTTATGGATATTCTCTGAGACTGTTTCMATAACACCATTCAAAAATCCTCCTTTGGGTAACTAATAAATGAATTGCTTCAAATGTGTGCCTGTCTTTGGGATTTGGGAGTTCCATATAACCTCTTGTACTGTTCCTGAAATCTACACTTAGGAAATTCCTGCACTTGGGAAGAAAAACCCCATGTCCTTAGGTATAACTGGGAGTGTTAGTGCCCCTTACAATGCCTCCATGAGGGCTGGAGCCCAGTGATGTTACTGAGATTTCAGGTGAGAGGAGAAGATCCTTTCCTAACTCTACCTGGCTAGTGTCCTCCCAGGGCTGGGTGGTTCCTAAAAATCTGTGGAGGAGCCTTTCTTCCTGGGCTGTTGCTAAGAAGGAAACAGCCAGGAGCAGCTGGCCAAAGGAAACTTCTTCCTCATAAAACAACCAACCATTTGCAGCAATTTTATTTGCAAAGATTTCCTGCTGCGACTAAATGGTGTGGCTGCTTGGTTTGTTATTTAAAAGAGTGACCCTAGTGAGTCCAGAGCTCTGAAGGAGGAAGAGTATGATTTCAGACCAGCATTAGTAGGAGGAGCTGGCACAGAGAGTGCCTAATTGAATTCCAGGGATGTCTTTGAGAATGCAGCAGCGCCTGGTGCTAACACCTCAGGCTTGGGGATGCCTCTTTATAATCCCCATGAGTCAACCCAAAGCCTTTCTGGGCCTCATAGAATAGTGTGATAAAATATCCCCAAGAGAGGCTAGGGATTGGAGTCACGAACCAGAAGAAGCTATGTTTGGGAGGAGGGGAAGGAAAAGACAAAATAGAGGCAGGGGAGGGATAAGTTGTGCAGCCRGCAGGTGGACAAAGAACCCAAGAAGAGGCAGGGAACCAAGCAGGAGAGAAGATTCAGAGAGGAAATTTCCTAGTGGAGAAGAAGGGAGGAAATCCAGGCATTTCCTAAGCAACACACTTGCAAGGTCAAGTACAGCGGGACTCTGGCTCCTCTGGCTCTCTYTCTCTCCTTTATACTGGTGCCTGATGTGCTGATGAATTATCTGCCCTGTAGCATGGGTTTTTGTTTTGTTTGGTTGTTTGTTTGGTTGGTTTTTTTCCTCTTGGGATGGATACATTTGAGAAAATGGAATTGGACGGATGTAGTCATCTTGAGATAATTACTAAGGAAAAGGTGTAGAAGGTCCAGGAGAGCTACCTTCCTGATAGACCACATGGGAGCCTCTAGGGCCTCAGAGAGATGGCAGCAAAGGTTTAACCCACTGTGGCTTCAGAGACATGTGGGTGGAGAGCAGGCTTCAGAGAGAACATTAAGCCCAAATGTAAAACAAGCCAGGCAGGACATCATAGTACCTGCAGATTGCAGCTCACTTGCAGGAAATTTTAAGATAAAAGCAGCAATCCTGGAACATCCCTTCATGATTAGCTTTTTTAAATTTTTTGTACCAGGGATGGAACCAAAGGGGTGCTTAACCACTGAGCAGCATCCCAAGCCACATCCTCCCCCACACACACTTTTTTTTTTTTAAATTTTGGTACAGCATCTCCATAAGTTGCTAGGGCTTCACTAATTTGTGGCTTTGAACTTGTGATCTTCCTGCCTCAGCCTCTCATATTGCTTGGATTACAGGCTTGTGCCACCATGCCTGGTGGTTTTAATCAGTAAATATTTGGGAAGATAATCTGGGTCAAGTTTCAATTAAACACTAAAAATACTGGGATAAAACCTGAACTGAACCAGCAATGAGTTTTTAAAGGAAATCCTTTTTTTTTTTTTTTAAGTGGTACTAGGTATTGAACCCAGGGGTGTTCAACTACTGAGCTATAGACACAGCCCTTTTCTTTTTATTCATTGAYTGATTGATTGAGACAGGGCCTCACTAAGTGGCTGATCCTGATCTCAAACTGGATCAGGTCCTCCCCACTCTTGGATAGCTGGGATTCTAACCTTGTGCAGGGTTTAAGGGGAATCTTCGCTCCCTTTTTCAGAGTAGGTGTGCACTGTCTCAGAGGCCATCATTCAATCACTTCCCTGGCACACAGTGTGCTGGGAATGAGGCAGAAATAAGACAGAAAGGCCACAGCTCTCACAGAACTTGCAGGGAAGGGAGACAAAGCATGTAATTATCATAGTTTGAAGAGTGTCTTTACTGGAAAAGTTCAAGATGCAATAAGAGCATTGTTATGGTTTGGATATGAGGTGTTTCCCCAAAGCTCCTGTTAATGCAGGGCTATTCAGATGTGCACTGATTCAGTTATGAGAGCTGTGACCTAATCAGCTTATTCTAGTTTGAACGGACTTTCTGGGTGATAACTGCAGGCAGGAGAGGCATTCTTGAAGGAGGTAAGTCATGGGGGTGTGCCGGGCAAGGGGAGAGCTTCTCTATGATGCCTGCCCTCCTCTCTGTCTTTCTCTCTTCTTCCTGAGCTGGCCATGAGCCGAGTAGCTTTCCTCTGTTGGACTATTCTCCCATTATATTCTGCCTCAGCTTGGGCCCAAGGTAATAGAATTAGCAGTCTAAGGTCTGAGACCTCTGAATTGTTGAGCCCCAAATAAACTTTTCCTCCTCCAAGTTGTTCTTGTCAGGTATTTTGGTCACAGTGATGAAGAGCTGACTAAARCAGGCACATAGCAGGGTGATGTTACTCCAAGGGACAAGAAGGACTTGCCAGTGGAAGCCTGAGGAATATAGCACAGGCAGGTAAAGGGTCATCTGCAAGTGTCTACTGGTGGGAAGGGGCATGCTGGGGAATATGTTCAAGACAGGGAGAGGAAAGAGCTGGAAGTAAAAGAGAAAATAGTWTCTTCAAAATATAAAGAAAGTTCAGTTTTGAAGGGAGGTGGGGTGATGTCTAAGGGCGAGAATGGCATGACACAATTTTGGAAAGGGAGGCAGGGGCCATGCTGTGGAAGGCTTTGTAAACCATACGAAGGAGACGGGGCTTTATTACAAAGCAATGAGAATAACTGAAAGGTATTAGGCAGGCGAGTGATGAAATCACATTTTCATTTTAGATCACTCTGGCTGCAATGCAGATTTAAAATAAGCAGGAAGATCATTTAAGAGGCCCTGCAGCAACACAGGGAAGAAAAAGATGGACTAGAATGTGGTAGGGAACATGAAAACAAGCAAAGCATTCCAGAGGTGTCGGGAGGCTAAAACCTATAACAAATGGCAGGACTGGCTAGGAGATGTCAGGGATAGAGAATCAAAAAAGACATCTTGGAAAGTTTGATYTTAGGCAATTTGTTAATAGGGATGCATCGTTTAGAGGCATTATGGATTTGGCTAGGAGAGGACGGGAAGGTACAGTTGGGAGAAAAGGCAGGCAGTTTCATTTTGGCCTTTAGCCTCCAAAGGAATGTTTTTGGTTCTAGTTAAAACACTGTAAACCAGGGGCTTCATTAAGAGGGTCTGAATAGAGATGTCACCTTGGGGTGACATTAGTTGTATCCCTGGCAATGAATGAAAAAAGCGGAGGGTCTAGAGGACAACCCCAAGGAACACTCAAATTTGAAGAATGCCAAAAGAAAGAGAAGCACGTTAAGAAGCCTAGGTGGAACTACCAGAGAGGAAGAAGAGAATGGAGACAGTTGTACCAAACAAGGGCTAATATTTACAGATTACAGATTATGGAGAGAGCAGAAAGATCAAACTAGGAGAATATTAGGATTAGATCAGAGATACAGCCACATTAAAGTTGCTTTTAGTTTCAATCTGAAATTAAGAGCTTCATCTAGAGACTACAGTTCAACTCCCTTCTAGAAATTAAACAAGTATAAGAAGGTACCCATCCAAACTTCCACCAATTGTATTTCACCTTTCTCAGAATTAATTTCCCCTACATGTTCCCACTATTTCATTCCTTCAACTGGATCTAARTATGCATGGTGTTTTCTGAACACTTTTATGTATACCTGACATAGTACAAAAAATAAAATAAATAGGATGTTCAAAACATTTGTTGGGGGAAAAAAAGTGCAGTATTGAACAGCAGGTATAATCATATTTCTACTTATATAAAATTATAGATTTATGCCCATATAGCTGTATATGCACAAAGATGGCTAGAAGGATACTCACTAATTATTTCAAYAGTAATTGTCTTTGGTTAGTCAGATTTGAGGTCATTTTCATATTCTTTTCTGTGTTCTTCTGAAACTTTACAATATGGATACATAGTGATATTATACAAATAATGAACCATGAAAGCATAGCATAGGATCTTCTACCTCATGCAGTCAATCACTACCTCTAGGAGGCTGCACTAGAGTCATGGCTGGGCTGTTTGAGGTGAGTCAGGAGAGCAGCGCTCTATGGATATGTTGGTCTTGCTTAAACAAACCAGACTAAGAGAAACCATGCATGTTGCTTCCACAGCAGCCTTTTTACTCAAAAAGACTGTGGAGAAGCAAAGGAGATAAAACCAAGTCTATTTCTTTAAGAGAAGAGCACTCTTCAGATGCTAACAGAGGCTTGTAACATATTCTCTTCCCAAGGCAGATCATTCCAAGGTAAGYAGCCTTGTACTCCCTCGGTTCTAAGACTACTGTTCTCTCCTAGTGATCAAGGACTTGGGGATCAGAGAGGTCTGGGTTCCATTTCACACCGAACCACTCACTTGTAGCATGGCTGTGGACAATTCATGCCTATAAGCCCATTCTCTTACATTATAAAAAGAAAATGATGTTTAAAACTCAACTAGATTTTGAGGATTGGATGAGGTCAAACATGCAAAACACCTAAGAGTAACATCTAGCACACAATAAGTAAGTGCTCAGTAAGTGGTAGTCGTTTTATGTTAGAACAAGGACATGGTGCGGCGAGGTTTGGATCTGAAAAACTCTCTCCATTGTGACCAGTTGCCATCCAAAGGGCCACCTTCCACCAGCGGCCATCCTGAACAGCTCTTCCCACAGGTTCTGAGCCTCCAACCCCAGTCTCTGAAGCTCTCCCTGGTCTCTACCCACTACCCCTTGCTCACCTGTTGAGCATATTCGACTGATAGATTCTCTTCTCGTGGGTGTTGTAGCAACTGCTCTTGGGCTCGGGGATGAAGCTGTGTTCAGACAGCATGTCAGAAGCAGCAGTGGTGATGATAGCAATTCCATCTCTCACTCTGGCAGGGAGACCATAGTCCCACTCATCATATGATACAGAGATGAGCCCAGTGGGAAACTCCGAGGGCACTGTGTCTGTATCCCCTGCCACCAGACTAGGCACAATCCACGTGTAGCCATAGCCAGTCAGCCCTACTGAGTTGGCCACTTCAAAGATGTAGGTGGCTTCCTCCTTGGTACAGTAAAGAAGAATGATGGGGCTTTGAAGTTTCTTGAGCTGATTCTGGATCTTAGAATCTCCATCATCCAGGGACATGTCCAGTAAGAGGACTTCCTCTAGCTCCCAGCCCACGAAGCTGTTCTCGATGGTGCTGCGGATCTTGTTTACAAAGTCCTGGTAGCCAGGGAAGTAGGTGGTGACAATAGAAAAGATGTACCAGTCGTATTCTTCCATGATGTTGAGCATTACGGAAGCTTGCTGTTCAATGGATGGGCCAAACTGGAAGAACATGGAGGATTCATCCTAGAACAGCAAAGGTACAAAAAAAGAGAGAGGAAAAACATTTGAATCCCAAAAATTTTTAATAAGTTTCTGTAAGTATTTCTCAGAATTTAGAGAAAATCGACATAGATTTATACTCTTCTTATCTGAAATCCTTGGGGCCAGAGTCTAAGACAGTTCTTCAAAATAAAACATGTAAATATTTCTAGAGCAAAATGGGTAGAGTCCCAAAAAGTGAAGTTGAGGTTCTAAGTGGCCTCATTTCACTTCAGGTCAGACTTTGCTATCAGGTGAATTACAAGCTACACACACACACACACACACACACACACACACACACATTCCTTCTCTCTGTTTCCATTTTTCAAGGATTTCTGAATTTCTCAATTGCAGATGTGTATAATTCAGTAACATTATATACCCTAAAATGCTATCAATCTACCCTTAGACCTACYTACAGAGATAGCACAGGCTCACTGGCCCAGAAGGTATACATTGCTCAGGTATGGATACGAGGGAGAAGAATGTGTAAATAGTATAAAAGCTAATGTGGTCTAACCTTTGCTCTGATAATACAATTTGCAAGTTAGAGTAAGGCTCAAATGCGGCATCTAAGCTACATGTTAAAACTACTGGTATTCAAGCTCACGTGTAAGCTTTATTCTAGAGCGACACAGAGAAAATTATTCTTTCTTGTATCCACATAATGCGTCTTGGACTGACTACATACCACACAGACACCTTTCTGCCATTGCTGAGCATCTTCTATTTTCTCCTTCTTTTCAAGAGAGAGGCCATTTTACATTTCTCCCATTTTAAGCTGCATTTCACCTGCTGTTCTGAGATGTCAAGCCCTGTATTTTATCTCTACCTTATAGCGACAAGAATCTGAAACSGCAAAATGAGCATCCTCTCAGGCTTGTCCTGCACTCTCAGTCCATTTCCCCCTGATTTCCTCCTGGGTAATGGTATCTCTTTTCTTGGTCGGTGCCCCTGTCTTGTATCAGATGGTTCATCTCCATTTTATAACAATCCAGACTGACAAAATTGTGTCTCTCTCCGAGGGGMTATTCCTTTTTATCCCCCAACTAGTGTTTCAAAGTACAGTTACAAGAGACCAAGAAAATGGGCTTTTATACAAAATTATATAGTGATTCCTTCGTTTAGGAACATATTGCTGCACAGCTGAGAAATTGCTGAGTATTTCTTGGGCACCCACTATTGAAAAAAATACAGGTTGGGAAATATCCAGCTGGTGTCCAAAGACCCTGATTCGGCAATGAGAGCTGCCAGCCCCTTAGCTCTGCCAGAGCCATTTGCTTCTCGTGGCTTGAGCTTTATACATTTCCCACAGGCTACCCAGAATGGAAGAGCAGATGGGTAGTCATCTGGGGGCAATGCTTCCTGCTAAGTGTAGAATGGTGCTTATCCTGGCTTCCTCCCCTGGACTTACCCATACATTTGTAGAGAAACTTAAAGGACCACGGAATTCAGAAGAGCAGAAGGGGTGGGGTGCCAAGAGTGCAAAGGGAATTAATTYATACTGGTACGATTATGTCACATATGCACCCATTCCAAACTCTTGGTCAGACACTGATTCTAGACTTCTACAACACAAGATCTATCTGAAAACAAAGATGACCCCTCCTTGGRTTATAGACACAGTGGTGTTACGGATATTGATTCCATACCCTGAAATCCAACCCCTAGGGCAATGGTGTTAGGAGTGGGATCCTTTGGGAGGTGATTAGGTCAAGAAGGTTCAAGCTTCAAGAATGGGAGTAGCACCCTTACAGACAGACTCAGAGCTACCTTGACCTTCCCATCTCATGCGGACAGACAGAAGGTGCCACTCATGAACCAGAGAGTACAAGAGTGAGCCTCATTATACACCAGGTCTGCTGGTACCTTGATCTTCCCAGCTTCCAAGACTGAAAACTAAATTTCTGTTGTGTACAAGCTACCTAGTTTATTGTACTTTATTACAGGAGCTGAAAGAACTTAGACACGTGGGAATCTCAAACAACAAAGCTCAATTATTCCAAGACTTGTCAGGGGCCCATAGAGAACCACAAAARCAGGAAAGAAAGTCTAGTGACAGAACAACACACCTAGAATAGCTAAYGCTTTAAAGAAATAATTACTTTTTTTTCCTTGTTATGCTTCCAGATAAAAGGGAATTTGGGGGACTTCAAATGGGAACTACTATCCTGTGAATTTCTAAAAGCCGAGTGGTTATAGCAAAGTCGAAAAGCTTTCAAATATACCTTAAGACAGACAAGGCTTGGGTTGATAGAGATCCCGACTGCAAACAAAGTACATCTATAGATGAACCAAACTTATCATGAGGAAGCTCTTGAATGCCAAGTGTACAGTGACACCACACTTGGCTCAAATACATAGCAAGAGTTAGCTATGAGAGAAACCCGTGGGGGTCCATAACAGATAACCTCGTGCTAATTAGATTGAATTTAAAGGAAATCARTCTATGAAATACCAACCTAACCCTCCCTACCCTTCTTGATCATTTTATACCCTCCCCTCCCAAGGTTATAAATGAACTTGTAAAGACAACGTCAGCTATTATGAGAAGAAAGTCGATGCGGGGGAGAGTAAGAGAAGAGAAAATTAACAGGGGGCCATCAAATCCCCAYCATATCCTGATTTCACCTTCTAATTCTGTTGTCCTACACAACTTCATTTTGCTTTGGACTCTTCTGCYCCCATCTATGCCCAGTTCAGCCATTTTATCTTGCCAGTCTTCCATTAACTAATGATACCTTCTAAGACCATTTAATCTGGCACCAAAAGGAGTTTACTGAAGCCAAAGAGAAATCAAGAGACAGAGTTATGGCTTGGGCAAATATTTCCCGGTATAATGAGTAGACCAGTGTTATTAATTTCGTTGACACATCAATCTGGTGGACGGTGGTCAGGAATGGAACAGCTCTTTTTCAAAAAAAGCTTTGGGATCACTGTAAGTTGCCAWTGGTGACAGACTTTGCAAATTATGGCTGCGGCCACAAATCAAAGTGCAATCTTCATGTGTGCACAGAGTGGAAAGGACTGGTGGCCACACATCCATCTTTGCAGGCACCCAGCATGCACTGTGATCACCCACAAGTGATCAAGGATGAAGGACGGATCTATAATTCTGTTTGCAGCTCACTATGCTTCCACACTTACATTTTTATCTCCTAATGTCATTACAAAATGTTGACATGCAGGGGTTCTTTGTGTAGCCTCCTCTTAGTAGAGATTCCCAGTCAAATTTATTGCATGAATGTACTTCTTCAACTTGCCTTGAAAGCATCCCTAAATAAAAGGCTACCATAAATGAGATGAGCAATTAGCACAGGAAAGGTAGAATTGTACATTAGACTCCATCAGTCTACAACCTTTATGTTGTACTTCCATTACTTTGATGCTCATGGTGTTTATTTGCTAATAAGAAACAAAAAAAAGTACTTTTTCATCCCATTATCTGCCTCAGAAAATAATTGCCTCAAGAATTAGCAGTACATGGAATTTTTCTTCTGCATCATCCAGATCCCCTACCGATCCACTTCTGAAATAAAGGATTAAGTACTGCAGCTACTGATCATGCCCCTGGCAGTAGTCTTTAGCTCAGCCCCCGCTTTGGGGATTGTCTCGCCTGAAGAGAGCCATTTGCCCAAAGTCATGCTCCCTTCCTGGAGTAAACAGTGTTGAGTGACTGGTTGTCAAGGGGTATAAAGACCTGGTCTTTTTGCCCTAACTCCGGATGACTCTGAAAGGTCAGTCAATCTTAAGAATTAAGATTAACAGGGACAGCTGGAGTTTCCATTAAAACTATATCATTCCGTACTTCTCCCTCCACCCAGTCCTGCCCCATCTTTCCATCCCTTCCCTTTGATGGTGCCAGTCTCAAGAACACTCCCTAATAAGCCCCCTGGATATTAACCTTAGTCTCAGAGTCTGCTGTTCAGGGTACCTGACTCTACTCATCTTCCCTTTCCAATCTGTAAAAGAGGTGGCTTAAAAGAGAACATTAGATGTATTTTCAAATACTRAAATAACTTGTAGAAAGATAAGTCTTTGCCCATTAGCTCCAGAGGAGAGAACTAGAACCAAGGAGTAAAAATATTAAAAGTGACACAGTMCATGAAATGTGTATGCAACAATTGTGGATTTTTTTTTTTTTTAAGGCAGGGTCTTYCTATGTTKCCCAGGCTGGACTTGAATTTCTGGGCTTCAATGAGTCTCCCACCTCAGCCTCCCAAGTAGCTGAGACTAYAGGCATGTATCATTGTGCTTGGTTCACAATGATAACTTTCTAAAATGGAATGGGCCTCAAAAGGTAGCGAGCTCTTTGTCATTACGAACATTCAAATGGAAGCAAGATTATTAACTGACATAAACCCCAATACTCTGGAAAACTCCATGYTCACCTTTAGGACCTGATTCAAATACCAGCTCTTTGATGGATGACATTTTTTTCTAAACCCCCTTCCCCACCTCCAGTTAGTTCTACCTCCCTGGGCTTTCATGACCTTTTGTACATCCCTATCACAAGGCTTAGCACACAGTAACATGTGCTTGCTTGCTCCCACTAAAAGTGTGTGTTTCCCAAGAGCAGGGCTATGCCTTCAACATCTCTGGAACCCCATGTGGTACCTGAAAAAAAAAATTATACTGTTTGTTGCATTAATATTACCAAGAAGTTTCCCTTATTGGGTGGGAAATTAATGAAATGACACCGATGGTCACATTCAGTTCCAAATTTCTGTGCTAACAGTATGTGCCCACCTCGTGGATATAAGGTATGCCTGAAAACACGAGGAGACCCCTGCTAGCTATAGCAGCTAGCCATGGTGGCAAAAAAAAAAAAAAAAAAAAAAAGCCACCAGCACTTATTTACTTGCCTTTGCAGCAAACTCAACTCTTCCAAGCCCCCTTCTCCTTCTCCTATTCACTCTTAAACTGACTCCAATTAGTCCTTTAGCCCCACCAGTCCACTGAAAGTCCTCTTGTAAAAGGTA